AAAAAAACACGAAAGATAAACAAAAAAATGAAAGATACACAAAATATACTAAACAAACACACATGTGAGAGTACACTATATAACCATATGATAAACAACTTAAAAAAACACCTTATTTAAACCTATCTAATTAATACTGGTATGTGGGATTTGCATAATCAAACACAAATTACTGACATATTATTGATATACTTACCTTTTTTTAACCTATCTAATTAATACCCATGAGTTATTATATATTAAATAAATAATTGTATTTTTTGTAAATTGATTTTTCTAATTCTCGTTTTATTGTGTCTCAAAACATAAAAGTGAAATAAAAACTTCGGCCTCGCCTTTGTGGTATTTACTAAATTAAAGACGGTGCTGGAAGTTATTTTCTCAATCATTTAAATAGCCGCAATGTTTTGTTTGTGTTTCTAATGTGGGATGTTCCAAGTCACAAGTAAAGAACTATTTTGCGTCCTTCTTGGGCTTTACCTCCAATTGTTTGTTAACTAAATTGTTTTGGGTCGTTATGTTCACAAATAGCTGAATCGTTTTGGGCCATAAAAAATCTTTTTCTGAAAATGGAAAAAATAAGGGAAATTTACACACATAGATCATGTATCATACTTATTTTTAAAATTACGATTTCATGAATCTTTTATCAAATGTGGGATTCTGCGGATAGGTATTATTAAATATACGATGCCTTTTACTTTTTCAAACTTATACACTTAATTAATGGTCCGATACTTAAGCATTCAAAACGAATTTTATGTTTTTTTTTTCTTTTTCTTTTAAAGCTGGTATATAAAACAAAAAATTTCAAATATGATACTTTACATATTGTCTCGGAGATTTTACAAATTTGAAACAAAACAGAGAAGATGATATTCATCCCCATTTTTTGTTTGAATTGTAGATCAAATGATTTTCGATAGGTAAACCAAAAAAAAAAAAAAAAAAAAAACGATTGCAGCTAATCAAATATTGCTCCTAAAGTGGACGTTTTTTATATTGAAATTGTCAAGGTAATATGCTTTTTTTTTGTGTGTTTATGTTTGGTTTTGTTTCTTTGTTTTCATATTACATGAGTTGCAATTTAAACCACCAAATATACTGCTTAATAATCACCAAATATATGTTTAGATATATTGTATATATACATCAGATAAACATGATCTGACAGCTTTCTAATGTTAACCGTGAAGTTATACATAAGATAAACAACATATAAACAGTGAAGTTATACCTAAGATAAACAACATATAAACAATTTTTAAATCGGATAAAAACATAATAAACAATTTTGAATGACTATAAAATTCAAATTGAATGCAGTTATATATAAAATAAACAACATATAAACAATTCTAAAACATGATAAGAACATGAAACATCCTTCCCATTTTCCCCCTTCTTCTTCTTCAGGCTCCCGACCCGGTAGCAAACATCCGATTGGCATGTCCCCGGCCTGCATAGCCGCCCTTCTCGTCGTATCTGGCCTTCCCCCGACAACAATCCTACATTGAGTAGAAATTCATGATGTTAACAACAATCCGGCAATTGAGCTCTCGTGGAGATAGGGAGAGGTGGTTCTTGGCATGTGGTGGTCTACTCTTGGCCATTGATGAAACTATGGAGGTGATTATTTTTAGGATTTTTTTTTTTAATCTCTTTTTCAAAATGGTGGAAAGAAACAAGAAAGACAAGATTTGTGGGCAGATAAATCTCTCTTTTTTTTAGAAGATGTATATTGTAAGTATATTTGCACGATCTCCGATATTTTTGGTCCACTACCATTATATACACTTTAAGGAATTAATTGTGGTGACAATTTTTTATTTTTTTAAAGTTAATTCTACCTATTATTATTTTTAACATTCGTACATATAAAAATAAT